CTTCGCCCGCCCCCGCCCTCCACACTGCGGTCTGTCTCTATACATGAGGCGCATATACATGCTATTTTGCTTAATTTTTAAGTTTGTGGCAATTACAGTTTACGGTCAACATGACCGTGTGTTAGTTTCGGGTGTACAGCACGGTGGTTAGACTAGGACGCGGGAGAGCGCGTCAGAACCACCCAGGTCCAGCCCTGACAATTTCTTTTCCTCAACTGGCGCTGAAGAAACCCTACTGCTGCCTAGGGTGACAGTTAAAGAATTTGTCGTCGGCAGACACCCCTGAGTTCAGTGTTCTTCACACGAAATACTTTCCCTACAACCGGAGACGCCGTGTAATTTCATTTCCACCCACCTGCGCGCTCACAGGTTGGACACCCCGTCGCTCCTCGCGGAGGACACAGGACCCTGTGGAGACCCCGCCGGAAGTGCGTGTGCCGGAAGTGCGGTGGGCCTGGGGGAGATAGGCAGAATTAATTCCTGGGTGAAGGGTCATTTCCCAGGATGCACCACGCACGCCTGGCCGAGCGGGCTCCAAGTAAAGCGAGGAAGCCCTTTCCCTCTCCGGGTCGCTGAGTCTGCGAAAGGAACCGCTGGAAACGTGGGCGACCAGGACACAGAGAGTACGAGGTGTCCCGGGAAGGAAGCACGGCCTCCTGAGTTAACCCGTTGCCTTTGAACAAGCCTCACTTTGCACCAGGAATTACAAATGGCCTCGGACAGGCCGCCCCTTCCCGCATCACCGCGCCTGGGGCCTGCACCCCTCGGACAGGCTGCCCCTTCCTGCATCACCGCGCCTGGGGCCTGCACCCCTCGGACAGGCCGCCCCTTCCCGCATCACCGCGCCTGGGGCCTGCACCCCTCGGACAGGCCGCCCCTTCCCGCATCACCGCGCCTGGGGCCTGCACCCCTCAGACAGGCCGCCCCTCCTCCTATCACAGCTCTGGGCCCTGCACCCCTCAGACAGGCCGCCCCTTCCCGCATCACCGCGCCTGGGGCCTGCACCCCTCGGACAGGCCGCCCCTTCTCGCATCACCGCGCCTGGGGCCTGCACCCCTCGGACAGGCCGCCTCTTCCTGCATCACAGCTCCGGGGCCTGCACCCCTCAGACAGGCCGCCCTTTCCCGCATCACAGCTCTGAGGCCCGCACCCCTACTCGGCACTTGAGCAGGATGAACTCTGCGCCCTGCAGTCTTCCCCCCAAACCCCCGGCCGCCTGAGCTCCCTGGGCGGAAGCGGCCTCCTGTTTCTCACCTCGCTCAGGTTTGTCCCTCGCAGCGCCAGGGCCCAGGCACTCAGCGTACAGAGAGGGCCCCTTAGAGTTTAGTCTCCTTGGATTTTCTTTCTAAAAAAATACACAGCGCAGGGGCCTCATCCAGCTCGGTTTCCGGCTAGACTCTGAGGGCTCACTAATCAAAGTGTGGCCCCTGGGCCAGCAGCATTGGCATCACCTGCGAGCTGGTTAAAAATACAGACGCTTAAGCCCCATACTAAACCCACTCAATCAGCACCTTGAATTTTCAGATTCCCCAGGACATTCAAATGCATAGTAAAGGTAGGAAGCCCTTAAGCTTTGACCCATCTCACAGTGAGACCCTGCAGTGCCCTGAGGATTTTCTAGCTCTGGCAGAGAAGATCTCCAAGCAGAGTTGTCTGTGTGACCCACAGACGCACAGCTCAATCCAGGCCCGTATAACAGACAAAGACACTGATGATCCAGGAGGTCTGAGCCAGAAGAGAGGAGACAGCAGGATCACCACGTGCTGGAGAGGATGATCCAAGGTCCAGAATTAGGGATCGCAAGCCAGAGGCGAGGCTCCAGAAGTTGGCTCTGAGGAGCATTCCGAGGCTGGGGCTCAATCTGCCAGCCCCTCCCATGCAGCCCAGCATTCCCGGCCCACATGTAACCTTCAGCCCCTGCCCAGAGCAGTCAGCATGACAGTAATAATAGTAGTCACAAGAAAATGCAACCTCTATCATGCTAACAGCTTTTGAAAAGTAAAATGCTGGGGATATGATTTCAATTAAAACTCACCGTTGTCTGACTTGTCTCTCTGCATAGCAAAGGTTCACCTCCTTTCGCCCTCTTAGCTCCTCTTCTAAACTAAGGCAGACAGGAGGAACTGTCATGCCTGCTCCCACCTTGAGGTGCAAGGGTCTGTGTGCCTGGCATCACTTCCCATGCCCAGGCCTGCTGAGCTCACACAGTTAAAGAAAGAAAGAGAGAGAGAGAGAGAGAGAGAGAGAGAGAGAGAGAGAGAGAGAGAGAGAGAGAGAAAAGAAAGAAAGAAGAAAGAAAGAGAAAGAAAAGAAAGAAAGAAAGAAAGAAAGAAAGAAAGAAAGAAAGAAAGAAAGAAAGAAAGAAAAGAAAGAAAAAGAAGAAAGAAAAAGAGAAAATGGCCTTCGTGCTAACTCACCCCAAATAAATCCCAAGGGCTGCAAGCAAAGTCTGAGTCTCTCTCCCTGCCTCTGTCTTGGTTTATGAATAAACAGTCCTGAACTTAAAAGGAAGCTGCTCTTGCACAAATGGAAAGAGCCTAAACTCCCTACCAGGGCTTGTCTCATGTAGAGAGGCTAAATGATCTACCTCATTTGTGCTGAAGGTGGCTTTTTCTAAATCAGTTTCGATCACCTAGCAGGTGAGTGCCAGGGAGCCAAGCAGGGATGGGGAAACACTGGCCTAGTCAGAATCCTGGTGCCTAATTTCCCCAAGGAAACAGTTGCTGTCATCCTGGAGATCTCTAGTGCTCCCTTTCCACAACGTGCTGATTAGAATACAACAAACAAGGGCGGCATCAGAGTCACTCGGCTGTGAGTAGACAAACATGCTTCCTAAGAAACATGCACCAATGCAACAAATATCTGTTGAGTGTTTGGCCCTCTTTCTGGACCTTCTTTCCATCCTTTCTTACCCAAGTAGTGCCTGTTCATTTCTTACAATTAGCTCAAATGCTATCTACACCAAAACTCTTCCAAATCCTCCCAGGTTTCCCAAATGCTCCCCCTTTCTGCTTGGGGTTAGTATCCTCCTCTGATGGGGATTTTCAGGAAAAACAAAACTAGCAGTCGTTGCTGAACTGGTATCTGTTTATTACCGTGAGGTGAATTAACTGTGGCTTTGAAATTCAAATGAAGCTATTTCTGTTATTATGTTATATATGTGTTCCTGTTAGACCTCACATTTTGTAAAACCACACATTAAAAGCAGGACTTTAGGGAAAATAAGGTTAAAGGCAGACCACTCAAAACACTTGAACTTTCAACCAGAGCACTGACAAAAATAGTAACAACGAATTACTGTTACACAAATAGTAGCAATTTGTTACTATTATACAAATTAAATAGAGTCCTTAAATTGCCACTGGTATTTGCTGCTGGCATCAAAGCATTCTATCCTTTCCATCTTTAATTTTTAACTTAGTCTTTTAATTTCTGCTTTTGAGACATAGGTCTTGAAGGGCATTTGTATCTAAATGGAGATCAGTTTCATCAAAATGAAATTCATAATCCAAGGTGTAAACCCTCTTAATCGTTAATATATATATATTTTAACACTAGGGGAAATCTGTTTGTAGGTTCTCTACTTGACCTTACAGCTTTCCCAAACAACTTGAAACAAAAGAAAGTGTACTGGTACTTACAGCCCTCATAACAGTCACCTTTTGCTCCAAAATAAAGCGGGATTTTCAGCTTTTTAAATATATCACAAAGGCTTTCTCTTTGAGAACAAGTTTGTCCCTTTTTTAAAAACACTGAAATGTTCAGTTAAAAATCACCATTATACTAATTACCATTCTTCCGATTGAAAGATACATGTTGTAACAACAGACTATACACATTTGCAACTAAATACTATTGTGAAAATAACATCCCTTAAATAGCAAGAGACCTGACTCCACAAGGTGTAATTAAGCTGATGATCTCATAATGGGGAGATTGTCTTGGATTATCTCGGTCTGCCCACAGTAATAACAAGGGCCGTCCTGAGAGGGAGACGTGATGACAGCGGCAGAGGCTGGAGTGATGTGCGACCACCAGCCAAGGAATGCAGGCAGCCTCGGCCAGCTCGAAAAGTCAGAGATGGCTGCTCCGCCAGGGCCTCCGGAGGAACACAGCCCCCGACCCACTCTGCACCCCTGACCCCGGAACTGAGAGGAAGGTCGCGCTGCCGTAAGCCACCACGTTCATGATACCGAGTTACAGCAGCAGTGGCGCTAATGCAAACAGCAAGGCCACCGCGGCAAGGCCAGCGTTCGCCATCATTACTTCGTCTGCCTCATTTACGATCGTCACCTCCCCAACTTTTCAGCTGGAGAACCATTATAAAACTTTTACTGTGGGCATACCACCTTAAGAATTTCACAAGCATTGCTTCATAGCAGATCCTCGTGTACTCAAAGATTGAAATAATACGGTGATGATAAAAAGTCCTTTGTTAAATATTCAATATAAACTAAATAAATTCTTACACTTACTTAATAATGCCCCAAATAAATAATCCCTAATGGTACTGCACTGAACAATATTAGACCGTAGGAGTCCGTCTAGCTCTTGTTTTCAAGGTCTGAGGATCAATTGCGTGAATAAGAGTATAATGGGGCGGAAACTTGATGTGATCCAATGTGGGAGAGCTGCGACTTGCTTGAACCAAGAGAACGTGGTGGAAGCTGGTTCTAGGCCAGGCCTTAGGAGGCCAGGCAGCTTCTGCTTTCTGTCTCTCAGAAGCCAGCCTCCCTGCAAAGATGCTTGGGTTCAACAGAAAGGTGAGCCGCCACATGGGGAGAGAATGGCCACATCGAGGGCAACCGAGGCTCCCAGCCAAACCCGCCTGGCACAGAGAGCGACATCTCACCACGTCCACCCCCATCACACAGTCATGAGCCAAGCAATGCTGGCGGTGTTTTAGCCAGTGCATTTTGGGGAGATGCGTTATGGAGCAACAGAAAAACTGAAATAGGGAGTGGGGAGTGGGCGGTGGCTAAGATCTCTTCTTGTCTTAAAATCCGTTGCTTTTCATTGCTTCTCAGCACAAAGTCATCATCTGAAATTCCCCAAACTAAGGTGTGGTAAGTTGAGAGGACGTTATTTCAGGAGACATCCTCCTACCTCCACCCCACAGGGCTCTGCAATTACCTCCTGCCCCAGTCATGACAGAGTTCAGAGGCCGAGCTGGCTTTCCCCAGCCCCCGGCATCGATCAGGAGATGAGATGCCCAGGCCTTGATGCCCAGAGCCCCTGCCAGGGGAAGGGAGGGGGAAGTGAAACTGGTAGGGATCTGTCGGCCGGATGACTGAAGAGGATTCTGCTATAGTAACAATGAGGGTTGGGTTTCATAAAACCCTCGGTTCGTCAATTCATGGCTGGAAGCAAGGCCCCCGGCCCCGAGGCAGTTAGCTCGCTCGGCCGTGGGGAAGGGCCAGCCCAGCCTTCACGGCTCTGCCTCCTCTGCTCTGCCAGTGAGACCTGGTCTCCAACTGCAGGCGGCCGGGCGACAGGTGAGAAGACGCAGGTTGGCCCGGGGATGTGCAAAATCAGCTGCCCACCTGGTGTGACTTAGAAACGCCACCCAGAGAGAGGAGGTGGAGGGTGCGACCATCCTGGGCACCTGCGACGGAGGAAAACGGGAGGAGACCAGTCAGATCCTGGAGGAAAAAAACACCCAAAATGAGCCTCGACAAAAAGAGGTCAGGAGAGCGTTCCAGAAAACCCCCAACACACGTTTACAGTTTAGCGATTTCTGCGTTTAATGATGTCAGGGGTGGTTTCACAGGTTACCTGGCAGGGGTGGAGGGCCTGTGATCTGGGTAATGACAACCACATTGCGCAGGCTCCCCTCTCAAGAGGCGCGGAGACCGGCTGCCGAGGAGGCCCGGGGAGCAGCCGGCCGGCTCTGCGAGGCAACGAGCCCGTCGCGGTCCCTCGGATCTGGAGCCGAGCCCGGGCCGCACGCGTGACCCCCTGCGCCAGGGACTGAGGCAGCCCTGCTGCCGGGAGCCAGCGCTGCCCGCCAGGGAGGGCTCACCGCCGGGCGCTTCCCCCGGGCCGCACGGCTCTGCGGGACCAGCTCCCGCGTACTTCCTGCAGCAGATCGAGACTCTGGTTGAAAGCACAGCAACAATAGCCCAATCACACCCTATCGAGGGCACAGGAAAGAGCAAAAAGGTGGGGATACAGGGAATTTCAAGAGCAGTTAGACCAGGGACTGGACACCCCGGGGACCTCCATAGGGTCTCCCTCTGTCTCTGCTCCCCCGTGTGCACTCATTTTCTTTGACAAGCTGCCCCGCGTGGAGGGGAAGGGTGTGGAGGCTTCCTCTAGGTTGTAACTTAAGGGTGGCAACTCCTGTTAAAAAACAATAAGCTAATGACCTGGTTGACCTGGCTTGGGACCTGTTCACCCCCGAACCATCACTGCAGCCAAGGCAACGGGGTGCTCTGTCATCCCCCCAGAACCACGTGCTCGTTGTAGGAAAGAAGCGGGTCCCACAAAGGAAGGAAAGAAACGCGATTTTGAGAAGACAAACACTAACGGAGCGTAACACTTCCCTCCCACACCGTCTCAGCGGGCGGACCGACCGTGTGGACGTCCTGAATGTTCAACAAGCAAGGCAGCCTGGGCTCTCACAGAGCCCCCGACGCCAGATCGGAGCCTCCCTTAGTGCCGAGAATCATCCTATTATTTGCTGAACTGTCGGGGAACAGAAGGGTTCCGGGGGGGACCCACCTGCACGGCAAGGACCGCGTGAGAACTCGAGAGGCGGCGGGAAGTGGGCGCCTGCCGGTCCATATGAAAGCATTTCAACGTTTTCACAGTTGGATTGGTCGTCCCACCGCACACAGGCTGCATACGGTCCCACGGACACGGCCTCCAACTAACTTCCCCAAGCGTCCAGCACGTGCTGAGACCCTTCACGGCTCGCGCTGTCGATGAAGGTNGCTGAGACCCTTCACGGCTCGTGCTGTCGATGAAGGTTTCTTTTCCATTTTTAACATATTCTGCTGATTGTTTCAGCTCTCACGTTAACAGCTTGCCTGGAAATCCCTGGAATTTTTAAGATAACCTTTTTCATTAAAAACCAAACCTCATGGAAGCCTGGAAACTCAGGAAACTGGTGTGGTCCCCGCAGCTGAAGGCGTCTCTACTCCCAGGACGCCCAGGGACACCAGGGAGAAGAAGAAACTCCACATTCGAGAGCAAGTGTTCTCTGCATCAGGAGCCAGATGAGTCCCAAACGCTTGATGTTGCTGCCTCTAAAGTTTGGTAAAAACACAGATAGGGGTCTTTTAAGGGTTTGTTGTGTTTCTTTTGTCATTGTTGGTTCATGATTTTGCTTAAGATTTACCAAAACTGAGAACCAGGGCTAAATATTCCTCACAACCCACTAATTGTCCTACAGACACACCTTTCTGTTCCTTCCTAATCTCAACTGGACTCAGCCCAACTGGACGGAAGCAGTGAGCTCATCAGGCCGATTGAACCCTCCTGCCACACACGTGCTCCCGCCTCGGTCCCCAAATGACCATACTTTCAAGAAAAAAGACCACAACTGATACCACTGAGATATTTCAACTCGTTTAAAAACGATCATATCCTTCCCTGGAGTCATTGTTTTTCTGTTCCTCTGTCTCTTTCAGGGCTATCAGAATTCTCTGAATTTTTTCCCATAAAGACACCTCCGGCATGAAAAGCCGCCTCCCCCAGCACACACACACTGGGCCATAAACTGTAGAATCAGTCAAGTTTTAAAGTAATAAAAAGTATTCTTTGTCAGCCAATCCTTGGGGTGCTTGTAGGTTATTTGAGGCAGATTGTGGAATTTCTACTTAAAATAGAGGAAGCCCAGATGCCCTGGGGAGCAGTGGGGCAGAGTGGGAAAGAATCCCACGTCTGAGGAAGCATCACCCAGCTCTTCCTTCGTCCACAGTGCACTGGCCACTCTTCCTTCGTCCACGCTGCGCTGGCCACTCTTCCTTTGTTAATGATGCCTGCTGGGCCCTCACCAGATTCATCTTTCCTGGCGTCATCGAAAGCCCAGGTTCAAGGCCGTCCCTTCCCAAACGTCAGGAGAAAGCTTTGCTGCTGACCGTGCATCCCAGAGAGCACGTTCCGGGCCTTTGGAGGACAGGCCTGTCCTGCTAAACCTCATGGCGTCAGCTTCCCACACGAGTGCCCGGAGAGCTCCAGGGGCCCCTCGGAGAGCGTGCGAGCTCCGTGCTGATCGGGCTCCTGTCCCTCTCCCTGCTCCCCTCACTGTGCCCGGGGCCCTCCCTGTGCCCGGGGCCATGGAAGCACCAAACCACCCTCCGTTCTGCGCACACAAACGCACAGCCTGTCCCTCTCATGCTCTCTGCCATCTGAAATGCCCTCCTTCCGCGTTACCTGCTGGAACATCAACAGAGTCTGCTTGGCAGGTGATGGAGAGCCAGGTAAGTCACTGGCATTCAGTGACCGGCAACTGTTCTTCTTTATCGTCGTCATCGTCATCACTGTCATTGTCATCGTCATCATCGTCGCTACCATCATCGTCACTACCATCATCGTCGCTACCATCATCGTCGTCATCACTGTCATTGTCATCGTCGTCATCATCACTACCATCATCATCGTCTCGTCATCATTGTCATCGTCATCATCATCATCATTGTCATGGTCATCATCATCGCTACCATCATTGTCATCATCATTGTCATCGTCATCATCATTGTCACTGTCATCGTCGTCATCATCGCTACCATCATCATCGTCTCGTCATCATTGTCATCATCATCATCATTGTCATTATCGTCATCATTGTTGCTACCATCATCGTCGTCATCATTGTCACTGTCATCGTCATCATCGTCGCTACCATCATCGTCGTCATCATTGTCACTGTCATTGTTGTCATCGTCGCTACCATCATCGTCGTCATCATTGTCATCATCGTCATCGTCACAACCATCATTGTCGTCGTCATTGTCATCATCATTGTCATCATTGTCATTATCATCATCATTGTCACCATCATCATCGTTGTCATCGTTGTGATCGTCATTATCATCATCATCGTCATCGTTGTCATCGTCGTCACAACTACCCGCCACCATGCTTGCAGTTATTATCCTCAAAGATGCAGCTCAAATGCCACCTCATCTGAAAAACACGTTTCTGATCTTCCTTTCAGAAGGAAACCACCTCTTCATACTCGGTGCTTCTTGTCTGAGCTCATCACTTATTTCACTTTACTTTGCCTTCTAGTCAGCCTACACTGTCACTGCTACTGCTGTTATTTTTATAAATAAGCTCACCCATCAACGTCTGCTCTCCCTGAGAACAGGAATCCTGTCTGATTTTTGGAATATCCACCCGCATCCCAGTCATGCGTTACTCTTTCCCTTAATAGGCGCTTGGTAAACACTAGTCGAAATACATTGCCAGTGAGATTACCTTATTTTGTCCATGTTTTAATTCTTGATCTGGGTTCTTAGTTTCGCTGTACTGCATCACGTACCCTATAACCTCCTTTGTGAAGTTAAGCATGCTTATCTTTTCAAATATTTATTTCAGAAACTGATTCTGAGACCAGTACATTAATGGTCTCAATCAATAATATAATTTGGATACTCTAAAATGAGCTTCACGCCGTGCAAATGTGATTTCCTTTTGGATCTATGTAGAAATAAAGGCTAGGTTGCTCTCAGTATTTTCACAGGATATCCTCTGACCCCTAAATTAATTTAAGTATACTGTAGGAAGCAGCGAAAGGTTTGTTTGGGTTTCAAATCCCAAAACCTGACCCCCTGACGCTCAGCACCAAACTACACAGGAAATTTCTAACAGTAAATCAAGAAGCAAAAGTGCATTTATGACAGAGCCAAAGAAAAGGAAAGTGAAGACTGGGAATGACCAGTAAGATCATTTTTATGCTCGTTTAAAGATAGTCTGTCAGCATAGCAGAAATCTAGTCATTGGCTGCACCGTGCCATGGTGTAATTCTTTATGAGAAAACGCAGTCGTCCCATCTTTATGCTCAGCCACTTCAGCAGGGCTCATCGCCCTGGCGCTCGAGGTATGTGGAATACACTGACCACAGTGCCGTTTCCCAATCAAAGAAGTCACTTCCCAAGGCCCAGGCATCAGTTCTTCGCTTGCAGTCGCCCTACCTCTATCCAGTCTCCCCATTTAGATCTTACCTCTGTGCGGGTGGCTCTCAGATTTATAACTGAAATCAAGCCTCATTGAGTTTAGGACCATATACCAACTCAGCACCTCCAGCTGCATAATCCACAAGGACTCACAATCAAATGCCCAAGGCCACTGTCCAGAACTCAGACTTCGAAGTAGCCCCTACACTAGCCTGGCCCCATTACCATCAGGCCATCTCTCCCGGGAGGGATGTCGCCAAGCCCCTTTTGAGGGGTTTTTCTTCTTCACATCCAACTGATTGCGCTGGGTCATAATTCTTGGACCATGCTTTTCATTCCAACCCTGCAGCAGTTCCCTACCTACCCCTTCAAAGGACCGCATGTGTGGCTCCCCTTAAGACACAGCTCTGGCCACGTTGTTCCCCGGCTCAACCACCTTCCATGGCTCCCATTCTCTCTCTGTCCAAGGCTAGCCGATCATCCTAATCTCCACCCAAAACTCCGTGCACACCAAGCACACGTGCTTTACGCTACAGTTACATGTATAGTCTACATAGTATAGTCTATAGTGCTCCTCTCTGCACCCCTCACAGCCTTGCGCCGAGCACACGGTAGGTGCCATTACATATTTATGAACTGAATCTCACATTCTTGATTCTGGAGCCCTATGTCTGGACTCCACTCAAATGAAGCCTTTCTTTCTTCATATACTATTTTGTACCTGATGCAGATTCCCTTACTTGGAATTTCTGATAATTTGGCCATAAGTCAGGCTAGATTTTATCTTTGTCATAGCTACTTGAAAAGTAAATTAATCATGTAAGTTAGCTAGCATGGCATATGCTTCACCCAAAAATGAACAGTTTCATGCATTGAGAAGGACTTTTTATACTCAATTAGTATGCTTTTTAATATATATTGTCTTATATCTATCTAACCCTGAATGCATCTTAAATTTATCAGGATGCATTTCTTGTTTAATATTTTATAATCAGACCAATCCCACTTCAATGACTCAAATCAGTGAGACTCGTCCTACTTTTCAGTGATAAATGCAAAGAGAGTCTCCTCTGCATGACATCAAAACTGACTACCCTTTCCTACTTCAAATCCATGTACAATTATCACTGCAAGCCTGAGGTGTCCTCCTGGAGGCGAGACCAGCAGCTGCACCATCTTGCGCCCCTATGCTTTGGACACCTGGATGTCCTCTGCCTTGTGGGCTCCTCCTCTGAAAAGGACAACAGTGACTGGTGCCCTGGTGTCTAGGCTCCAGCAGGGCCTGGCCATGGGATCCCAGAAGCATCTCCCTTTGTCCAAGCGATGAGGACTGGTTAGCTGAGTTGCAAAGAATAAATTCTTACTCCCTGGTTACCGCCAGGTGAACATAACTGGCTCTGGAACCAGCCTGGAGTCTGATTTTACCTTTTTACCGCCAATCTGCTGTCCAGGCCTCCTCCACAGACCTTGAGGTTTCTATTATCCCCACTGTCCCAGCCACAGCACTCAGTCATTGCTGCTTCTAGCATGACATGGGAGAGATTTAGAGAGTTCTAGGTTACAGTGGCTACGGACATCATCAAACCGGAGGGAAATACTTGGTTGGATGCTTCATGTGGCATTAATTAAAAACAACCTGCATTTTCACAATGCAGCTGCACCGCCCACTTCACTCCTCTGCAGTTTCCAGTCAGCAACTACAAAAAACTTCTCAGAAGACACCCCTAACTCACTCCACGGCACAAAATTCCAAAGGACCGGCTCTTAATTAAAGTGTGTAGGGGAGACATTTTCCCATGCAAGTTACCATGTGAGTGGTAACCCAGTGTCGCCATATCCCACCCCATTTGCCTTTGCATTCACACAGGCAGGGAACTTGAGACCTAAGGAAACCAGCAACTCCTTGGAAGGCTGCCACCTGCTATCAGGTTACTTCAGCCCAGGGGCTGTCCTTCAGGATATATCACATTAGGAAGGACTTGCCTGGGAAAGCGGAGGTTCAGGACAAGTTATTGAGTGTGGGCTCATGTCTACAAACACAGATATTTAGGCAAGACCTTGACGTGTTAATTTAACTCTCTAGGCCTTGGCTTTCTCATCTGTTCAATGGGGATAATCATTTCCACTCGCTTTTCAAGGTCATTTTAAAATAAATGGACATCGTTAGTAAACAGCAGCTCAATGTGTGATGCAAGTCAAGGGAAGCGAGCACAGCGCCGGGCTGTGGCAGGAGGCCCCTGCGAGCACGCCGCCCGCGGGACCGCCTCGTAGCCCGCGGTGAGCCCCAGGCGGATGCGCAGGCTCTCACCCCTGCAGGAGGACCTGATTGAAGTCGTGGCGTGCACAGGAAGCTCGGGGCGATTTCACGGCCACCTCTTCCGACTTGGGCAAAGGGCACCACTGTTTGTTTTCATGAGAACTGAGCTGGAGGAGCAGAAGGTGTTTCCAATGAAGGCCCACCTGCTCCATGTTAAGGAACACACAGGAACCACGGCTTTGAACTTCAGCACCGATGACTATTTGTTTTTCAAGCAAGGAATGGAAGAGCAGCCTGTGAGTATCCACAGGGTTCAGAGTGGGCTGAGGATCGCAGATGCCCCCCCGAAGCAGCAGACATACCCATCACGCTGGCTCCGGACTGACCCTGCATGCTGGGGACCCGGCACTTCAGCACAGGAGGCCACCCTTTTTACAAAATCAAGAGTGGTTGCTTCCCCCAAGGTAACCACACACCATGCCCCCCAGCAGCCCCTCCCAGAACATGCCTGGGCTGGACTCTCTCCTGCCTGCCTGACACTCCACTTCTCAGGAAGGTCAATGGGAAGGAAGCCTCATTCTGCTTTGCTCCCTCCCAGGCAGCCTCAGAAGTGTGGAGGTGACATCTGAGTTGTCCAGGATCAGATGGACCTCAAAGCCTCCCAGTCAGGAGCACAGGGATCTGGAGGCAAAGCTTCTCCATGCTCCCCCAGCGCCCCTTACACTTCCTCCCTCTAGTGTGGCCAATTGGTCTACTCTCCTGGATCCCACAGTAGGCATCAGTCTTCTAGAGCAAACAAGCAAACGAAACAAACTTGCATCACCTTAGGACTGGATCCTTTCCTAAGACCCCAAAGGAGAGTAACTGATCGCCCAGCCAACACTGCAGCGACATTAGTTGCTGTCTTCCATTCTGTCTTCCTCTCCTACAGGCATCTCTGGCCTAACCAGAAGACCGAGGCTTTGCCAACAGCGGGATTTCTGGCACTGAGATCTTTGACTGGTATTTGGCAGCATGCAGTCCTCTCGAGGGCCCTCTAGAGCCCAAGTGGGTGCCCTTCATCACCCACATTTGTGAATTTTCCACTCAAACTACAGTAAAGTTAGGCCCCTGAGCCCACAGGCTGAGCTGCTGCAAATTGAAGAGGGCCTGCCCAGGACAGGGCCAGGACAGCTGCCTCGTGCCCTGGACCGCTTCTGTGTCATTCAGCAAGTCACACAGGACAAAGCAGGCTTGAGCCCCAGGTGTTCCCAGGGACCGCTCTGCTGTCTTGGAGCTTCAACCGTGTCTGCACTAACGTAAAACTGGGACGCTAACAAAGGCATCTGCCTCTGAGGGTCATGGTGAAGACCCAGCGAAGTCCTGGGAAATGTTTCGTGAACTGTAAATACCGCAAAGGCAGGCATTTCTAGGATGCGAGGATGCTAAACACAACATATGAAAAGCCCTATTGGAAATGCAGCTTCCTGCGTAAATGTCCACTCCATTTTCTTGTTACTCCTGCGCTTGGATGGTGCCTCTGCAATGTATCGTGTTCCGTGCTTCAGGAAAAGCATCGCAAGTGTGAGACACAGGTCCTGCCCTCCACGCATGTACTGTCTGATCGGGAGGCCAGGACACACGTGTGAAGTAATGACACAAGCAATGCTGGACAGACATCCTCAGTGCTGGTGCCTCATTTACAAACACAGACTTGGAAACGATTCATATTCAGCAGTCGTTGCCCATCTGACCTCTTTCAGCAGCTCAGCTGTCCAGGACTCCTGGGCGGGACCCCCCCTCATTGCCCCCCCCCAGCAGAGCCCCCTATC